TATTTTACACTAAAACACAGCCAAGACATGTCACGTTGTAAAGACCAAAGGTCAGTTATATATTAGTGGATACGGTAACATGAGTGCAGGTGCGCCGTATCATGATAACTACTGTATTGTTAGCCACGCACAGCTGGAAGGTCAATATAATAAAAATAAATATACAAAAATGCACAATGTTATGAGGTTTAAGCAGCTATTTAGACTAAAAATTTGTGTTTGTGTTATAATTTGTAGTCATTACAGAACGAAAAAAAGATAATTTATATATTTTTTTCCTAATTTTTTATTGAGATTACGAAGTTTGTCATATTGAACCAACCCGTACAGAAATACACTCGTGAAAATAACAAATAAAATAATACCTAGGCTGCTGATGGATGCAGAAAGAACTGATAAAAATGGCAAGGACAGGGGAAAGAAAGAACCAGCAGTAATGAGAAAAACAGAAAGTATGGGATAGGGCTGCCTGATAACTCAATATCAAAGAGACCAAAGAACCCATCTCAAAAATCCATGTAAAAGACTCAAGAGACACCTGCAACCATAGGATGAGAAGCTGGGATACCCAGAGCCAGGGCCCAGGTGTGAAAAACATTCCATTTCTGCTGTTACACAGCCCTCGATGAAAGATAAATGGAATGAACTAAATGAGATGTCATCTGACATGAGAAACTAGATCTCCTTGCCAGGGATAGGACAAAAGCCAGGCATGAAGATGAAGGACATTAAGTGTGGGATGCAGAACCAGTAACTGGGGCTGATGAAGAAGTTTGTGGAATAAAGGAAGAGGGACGGGAGGGAACAACTGTAGCTGGAGTAATTTAGGAAACCACGATTGAGAGGGCCAGTAAAGAGTAATCAAAAGAACTTTGCATGGAGTGGGATGGATAAGAGAGACTACCTGATGAAGTAATTGGATAGGAGGATAAACATAAAGGAACTTGTTCAACCAATCCTAGCTGAAGGCATCTATAGCAAAAGCCCAAAAATGGGGAACCAGGGACCAAAACAAAGGTAACTGGTGATTGAGGGCGGTGACAAATGCATTGATATGTGGAATACCCCACTGATCTTAAAGCTACCAAAAAACAAGGGGATGAAGGGACCACTCCATTGGGTAAACCCAGTTAGGTCCAGAAATATGATCCGCCACAAGGTTGAAAGCACTTGGTACGTGACATGCCATCTAAAGAATGTGATAATCGTGGGCCCAAAATAGAAAATCCAATGTTAAAAAACACTGGGATCTCGACTGGGTGCCACCTTGGTGATTGATATGAGTCACCACTGTAGAATTGTCGGAATGGATCATGAACAGATAATCTCTGGAGATGGGAAGAAAATGATCCAAAGCCAGATAAACAACAAGGAGTTCAAGGAAGTTGATATGAAAAGAATGTTCCCCAACATACCAATGACTCAAAGCCTCCTGATGATCGACCCACGCATCCCAGACCTGAAGGGATGCATCCTGGCAACCGAGGAGGAAGTGGAATACCCACTGATGTACAAGTCTTGTCCAATCAGCATCAGAGATCGTCCACAATGTAGAAATGAAAGGTTATGGGAGCACCCATGAGATCTTGAGCAAGGTTCCATTGGTTGTGGAGGACCCATTGAAGGGATCGCATATGAGTCTGGCCGAGAGGTATGAGAGGAGTCATAAAAGATCACATTTCCAAAGGCAATAGAACCTCACAAGCAGAAAGTAGCAAACAGGGCATTCCAAACAGCCAGTTCCATAGAACAGAGCCTGAGAGAAGAAGGTTGGGCCCAATTGAGATGGGTGTTGAATAAAACACCCAGATGAACAAGATATTGGGTAGAATGAAAAAAGAACTTCTCTAATTTAATCAACCAGCCCACCCGAGCAGCTTCGAGAATGAGCTAAAGAGTATGACAGGCCAACTCCCCAAGTGAATGCGCAACCCCAGGACATGAAGATATAGTGTGAAGGTTCACGCCACCCCAAACGGAATGGCACGAAATTAGTACACTACCCCATGATGGACAAACCAAAGATAAGTACAAGAACACACCAATATGAGAATATGCAGATAAGCATTGGAGACATCCATCTTGGTCATCCAAAGACCCAGAGAAAAAGCGCACTAAAAAGAAGGATAGGATTCCATGGTGAAGCATGGGGTATGAACACATTGACTGAGATGGGACAAGTCCATGACTGGCCTTCAGTTTCCGGTCTTTCGGGAAACTACAAACAGGTGGGAGTAAAACTTCCATGTACTGCGTGGAGCAAGTTTGATAGCCTGTTGTGTGAGAAGGTCCTACATCACTTCTGATAGATGCTGGTGTGAAGGGGATTCCAAGGAGGAGGAAAGGAAACAGGCACGCAGAACAAGGGAAGAATGGTATGGCAAATCCCTCTGACAAAACTCCGTGAAACCAAACATTGGTGTTGAAAGGACTCCACCAATGAACGAAGGTCATCAAACAAGCTCCCACCGAACTCATCAGGTAGTCACCAGAATCGTTGTTAGCATACTATACATTGTCATGAAAAGCGATGAACATTGGCATCACAGGAAGGAGGAACAGGCAAGGGCTAGGGAGAGGGTTGGGAGACAGGAATCGGTGCCACGCTTGGCTCCATCTGAAACAAACGAACCACCAAATGAGAAAGGGTGGATTGTTGTTGGACCGAAGCTACCTTTGACTCCAAAGATTCTGGGCTCAGGTTGAAGACGACACGTCTCAAAAATCGTGCCATACGAAGGTCCTGTAGATAAAGAGCCAGGTCCATGATAATATGGCATTACAACCCAAAAGGTCCTAACAACAAATGAACCACATTTGCAGAGCCATACCCAAAAACAACAGGTGGGCCAGCTTGGAAGTGAGGAGGAAAAGGACATCCCCAGAAAACCCCTCAGGGTTCCTGTGAAAACAGGAGATGGATAGAGGAGAGGTACCACAAAAGATTCGTCAGGGTAAGAAAAAGGCATGATTACTGGGCATGGGTAAGATGAACGAGAGATACGCGTCCTGCCCCCAAACAGGCATAACTGAACCCAATAATAGTTGCTCCAGATATGGACAGTCTGCCCTACGATAAGCGAGGGCAGACTGATCCGAAACTTGCAGGGGACGAGGCATACTAATGCCGTCACCTAATTGGGAGGCAAAATGCTCAGTGTGAATCCAAATATCAGGGGATGGGAGAAAAACTAAATAAGGTTGGGAGGCAGAATCATGTAATAGAGAAAGATGTGGATCATAAGAAATAGGAGCAATAGACAAAACATCACATACCCGAGAAATAAAATCCAAGAAAGCCGACGAGGACCAAATAGAATCCTCAGGTATGGTTTGGGAAGTCACGGCAAACCCTGAGAGGGGGACAAACAATCAAAATCCTCATCAGCCATATAATGTGAATAAAGGCCAATAAATCCCCCTACGGGTCACCCACATCTGTAGCCTGAAGTATGGCATCAGACGAATTAGATGTACCTGAAGTGGTAACATTAATTTCAAAATTAATACTTAATACCAAACAAGCAAGCAAAACATTTGAGACAAAATACGGTAAATCAAATGCTTTTGAAAATGAAGTGAAAAACAATTTCGTCAAACAAAGTAAATTAAGTTAAACCTCTTTGAGAAGTAATGAGCAAAAAGAAATGTCTGAACTCAAGCACTGCCAAACGAGAAGTGATGGTTCAATAATGGCGCATAGAGGAAGTCACATGATAGTAGTGCTCTCCTATTGGTGGAGAGATGATGCATGATGATTTGCATGAGAGACATGTTGGAGTCTTTGATTCTAATATGGGGTGCAGAAGGCTTGTGGCATGCGTTATAAAAAAGTTTGCATATAGAGGGCAGCACAAAATGGGAAACTAATCTTGTGAGTGGAGGGAAGTACTGTATTGGAAGTATATTTTTTTAATAGTATACACAATCACAGTTTTAATATATTAACATTATCTGTAAGATAAAATAAACCCCAATTTTCTAAACCAAGTTTCTGTAGGTATCAAATTTTAACAAGTTAATAATATCTGTAAAATAAAATAAAACAAACTTTCAAACAACAATAAAACACGGTGTAAAAGCAAATTTATATGTAGTGCTTCTGTTTTGTTACTTTAATAGAATGATTGATACTTGTGAATTTCAAGCTATATTAATTTGTTGATTTTGCTATTGTTTATTGAATATTGATTAGTACTTTATCACAAGGTCAAAAGGCTGGCATGACAATATGGATAAGAATACTACTTGTCAAGTGTTTGCCCCACAATTAGAGAGTTTTTGGTTTGGGACATGCCAGTGCCTGTCAGAACTTCCTCCAGAATATAAATTCATAAAATAAATTTATGGTTATTCAACACTGAGGAATAAATTAGAAATAAAACATAGTGTACAAAACAGTAAACTTACATTCTATTTACCACTAAAATAGCCCAGGAGTTGACAATGGTTGCTGCCAGTGAGTTGCCTTCTCTCTAGTTAGTTCAAAATTAGGAACAGTTGCACATAGCCTTAGTAGATTTGACATAACTCGAAAACAAAGAAACCAATATAATGTCACCATAGCTGAAAAGACAAGAATGTATGGTGGCCAAGGGAATCGATTCTGAGACCTTTGAATCACAAGGCAGCCCCTTTAATAACCAGACCGTATCGGCTCAAAGCTAAACACACTTGAATTAATTGAAATAATAATACATATAAATCAAAATGGTGCCATTCTAATTACTTGAACAGTTGGAATAATCAAAAATAGTAATAATTGGATATCCTGATTTTGACCAGTTGGTTACTCTGGGTCAAAAATAGTTATAACCTGAAACACAAATTTTGATTAGTTGATTATCGTCATGACATTACTTAATGTAATCTATGCTCATAACTAACTGATTATATTAATTAATTGTGTTAATCATCCAGTTCTAAGTGCAATAACGATTTTCTCTCTACTTGCAACATGTTTATGTCTTGAATTGAAGAACAGTAAATTTAAAACCTACCTCTAGCTTCTTAACAGCCTGTTCCCGTTCTCTCAGTAGTTCAACATTAACTTCTTCTTCCATTTGCAGGACTTTCTGAGATTGTGTCGGGCTGTCATAAAATCAACTTTGTTTATTAAGCACACCGTTCCAACTTTCAATATACTCTTACAATACCCCAAATCATGAGTTTTAATTTCAGATAACTTTGGATGTTCAGGACAAGACTAATTTCTTGACCCCAGTTATCACTGGTTTGTTTCGTTACTAAAGTTAATCTTGATGTAACAACAACACTTTGACATTTCATTTAATTCATAAATGATAGTAAAATAGCTAAAGGAAATTCACACTGTCTATTTACTGAAACATTTTAGATAGTACAAAATTAACATCCTTGGTACAGCAGATCGAATTGCTCACGTCATGACTTTTTAGGAGTTGTACTTAAAATTCAATTAAGCTACCTTATTATCATTATATAATTCGATTAAACTTGGTATCAATATGTGACTAATAAATCAAATTTTAATATAAGTCTTAAGTTCTTAATTCCATAAAGAACAAATTTTTTAAACTTATAAACCCCCCATTACAATAATTTTGATATTCACTCTCTAGGTCTTCCCTCTACTCTAATATATTTACTTTCTCATTATAATATAGATATTACTAAGCCAAAGCATAATTTTTGTAGCTTATAATCTTATTTGTTTACAGAGCCATAAGCCAGAAAATCAGACCCTCATGCCACACCCATTTGCATCTATAACCAACATATTTAAATTTTATCTTAAAATCAAAAAATTAAAAGATACATTTTTCTTCCAATTTTGCATGCATGCATGCACAAAAAATGTGCTTTTAGATGGATAAAAAACACAAAATTAGGTTAACAAAGGCTTAATGTCACTTTTAATTCAGTGTATAATTTCTTAGAGATTCCTGGCTTTCAATGAATGGTAATTAGTTTCATAACTAATAAAAGTCTACCTTGCAAGGTCAATCAGAGCTGTTCCTGTTCCTGGTGGACCATCAGAAAATGGATCCTAAATAAATAACTTACTTCAGTAAAACAAAACAGTAAATTTTACATCAGTAACAGATAACTAATAACATCCAAACAATAATATTAAAGAATAGAAATTACCTCAGGAAAACAACCCCTAAAACTTTAACATATGAATTACTTTATTACACTTATTCATATCATTTACCTTTTAACAAGAAATAACTGTAAAATTACATCTCTGTAAAACTGATATTATGAATATAACATCATTTTATGGACTCATTTTTTTTTCACACAGTGGAGTAGGACAACTGTTTATTTCATTTTTTATACCTACCCCTCTTAGACCCGAATGTGCTCTTGCACGCATCACACTTTCTTTCTCTTTTTGGGCTGCAAGTCTCTGAACTGCTTGGAAGTTCTTTAAAGCTTCCGTAAAATTACTGGTAAGCTTTTCCTTGAGAAACTTGTTCTGTCGCTAACAAAAAACATCAGAGTTCGGTTTAGTAAAGTAAAACATTTGTCAATTATCATCCTAACCTTTTATCTTAAGAGCTTTGTGAGTGATTGACCATAATTTTAACAACTCTGTCTTATTCATAAAAACATATCAATAAAAGCCCTAAAAACAAAACCTAAACCCTAATTATACCTTCAAACTACCAACTTGTTCAGTATTGGCAACATGTACGTATTATATCATATTAGGTAATTTTGATATTCAATGACCAAGCAAATAGGGTGAAATCACCATTTTTCTATCTAACGTACACTGGGGACCCAATCAGTAATCAATAAAATAGGGTGAAATCACCATTTTTCTATGTAAAGTACACTGGGGACCCAATCAGTAATCAATAAAATAGGGTGAAATCACCATTTTTCTATCTAACGTACACAGGGGACCCAATCAGTAATCAATAAAATAGGGTGAAATCACCGTTTTTCTATCTAATGTACAGTGGGGGCCCAATCACTAACTAGTGTGATTAACTGGAGTACTGACAGTATTTTGTTGGCATTTTTGTGATTGACTTATGTGTTATTAGGGATCTTGTAACTAACAAAATTTTGGACCCACAAGCATCTTGATACATAAAAAAAAAAGAGGTTATGAAAATATAATGAAAAAGCCAATGGGTGACTTTAAGGTTAATGGTTATCTTTAAAGGAAAAAGCTGATTACTTCAAAAATATGAAGTTTTTAATTCATGATTTAAAGTACTAGCTTATGGAGTGTAAATATAAACAAAAATTATTTCTGAAACAGACTGAAATTGATCACGTATGTATATTAACATTTGAAAATCAACATTCAATCTACAGATTGAATCACTTCAACATTACAGCTCAATCTGCGAATGAAAATGTCACTCTAACGTGTTATTTGCACATTACCATACCTGCTTAGACTGACTAGAAGACTGATTGCACATTACCATACCTGCTTAGGCTGACTAGAACACTGATTGCACATTACCATACCTGCTTAGACTGACTAGAACACTGATTGCACATTACCATACCTGCTTAGACTGACTAGAACACTGATTGCACATTACCATACCTGCTTAGACTGACTAGAACACTGATTGCACATTACCATACCTGCTTAGACTGACTAGAACACTGATTGCACATTACCATACCTGATCAGACTGACTAGAAGACTGATCCAAAGAAGTTAATTCTCTTAAATGCTGATGTGTGTCTTTTGCCAGTTGGTTTGTGTAGTTCTGCACCTGGTGTCTAAAAGACAAATCACATGGTTAAGTTCTTAGTAAAAGATACATGTCTGTTTTTATTCCTACAGCTTATCATAAATATCTATGTTTGTTACAGGGTAAAGAAAACACTATACTAGCTACTAAGGTAGTCGACTTCTTAAAGTTTAAAATCAAAATTTGTAAAATAAGCTACTAGTACCAAAAATGATAAAACAAAATAAAACTATATATATATATATATCATCACAAAAACATAAAACCACTTCTTTATAATCAATCACTATATCTAGCAAGTTTTATTGAACTACTACAGATTCAAAAACACTCAATGTTGAATAAATAAAGCAATTCAACCATTAATAAAATAAACAGTCTTTACAAACATGTTTTTTTCTAAATTTTGCATATTTTCACTCATCAAGAAGCATCACAAGTAAAGAAACAAATTTTAATTATTTGATTCTTCATTAAAATAATGTTGTTTATTATCAGTAATTAGACTTCTAATTAAACAATCAGTATAAATATGACGCTAAAATACATTTTAAGATTTAAATCAAAGCTTGTCAAAAAATATAAGCAACAGGAATTTAGATACAAGTTTTTGTATCAGACAATAAATATTTTTAGCCACGTGATTAACATAAAAAAAATAAATGTGGTAAAGATGGAGATCGTCTAATATTTAATGGCGCTCTTCTTTATACTGTGGACGGTTTAAGTAGCGTTGTATTACAGATGAATACTGCAACAACAACAAACATCCACTATGTGTATGATGATAACAAATATTTTGTTCTTGAATTTTTCAGAATATACATATTAAATCTTCAGCTGGCTATATTGAACAAAGTAAAATATTAGGTATAATAATTTCTAAAGCTCCAACATTTTATAAACATTAAATTAAAATACAGAGTAAAAGGATGAAATTAATTTTAAAAATGAACAGGATAATGCTACAATTATAACAGTTTTTTGCAAAATTTGAATAATAAGTAAACATTTCCTTTTTTTCAATTAATTAAATTTTTTTACTTTATATTTAATTCCTGTTTGCAAAATGTTCAAACTTTAGAAATTTTTATACCTAGTATTTTACGTTGTTCCATATAGCTTGCTGAAAATGGAATATGTATATACTAAAATGTTCAAGAATGAAATGTTTTTTACTGTATACACACATGTTAAATGTTTGTTGTTGTTCCTGTCATACTATTATTCATCATTTAAGTTTGATTCCCGTCAAATTAATCGGTTGCATTAAACACTTAAAACTGACCAAAAAAGAAGACTTCTAAAGTTAAGCCTCATTAGAAGTTTAGTAGCTGCTACAAAATATTGGACTTTTTGGATACGTTTATAACACAAAAAAGCCAGCTTTGGTGAAGAAAATATAGCCATATCTATAAATAAAAGAAACTGCAGAGTTCAGCTCTCAGGAGTGTAAACAAAGCAAGACAAATATAGGAAGCCAAATGCGATAATGATGGATTAAACCCAATAAATACACAAGATCATGTGATGAAGCTATATTAAACAATGCACACAATAGATACCATCAATAATGATGGATTAAACCCAATAAATACACAAGATCATGTGATGAAGCTATATTAAACAATGCACACAATAGATACCATCAATAATGATGGATTAAACCCAATAAATACACAAGATCATGTGATGAAGCTATATAAAACAACACAGACAATAGATACCATCAATGATGATGGATTAAACCCAATAAATACACAACATCATGTAATGAAGCTATATTAAACAATGCACACAATAGATACCATCAATAATGAAGATATACAAAACAACACAGACAAGAGATGCCAGCTGTGATGAAGATATACAAAACAACACCGAAAAGAGATGCCAGCTGTGATGAAGATATACAAAACAACACCGAAAAGAGATGCCAGCTGTGATGAAGATATACAAAACAACACAGAAAAGAGATGCCAGCTGTGATGAAGATATACAAAACAAAACAGACAGGAGATGCCAGCAATGATGAAGATACACAAAACAACACAGACAGGAGATACCAGCAATGATGAAGATATACAAAACAAAACAGACAAGAGATACAAGCAATAATGAAGATATACAAAACAAAACAGACAAGAAATACCAGCAATGATGAAGATATACAAAACAAAACAGACAAGAAATACAAGCAATAATGAAGATACACAAAACAACACAGACAAGAGATATCAGAAATGATGAAGATATACAATGACAAGGATATATAGACATAAGATACCAACTGTGATGAGGACAGTCAAAAACAGACAAAGGAGATTAACCATGATAAAGATGCATGAAACTAGTTAAATATAGTGACAATAAGCTTTAACTAGTATACCTTTCAGTCTAGAAGAATGACAGACAACATAATTATCTTGGTACAGAATTTGTTAGGAAATGTATTTTGATTCATTTATACTACAAAATGATTTAATTCAACCTTTATTGTTTAAAAATAACAACATACATACATACATGCACTATAAATGTTAAGTCTGCTTGGCATAATAAAAATAATATAAAATCAAGACAATTTGATTAAATTAGTCACTATCAAGTTTCAAAAACTAAAACTTAACTTAAACAAACTGAAAAAAAGAATGCTTAAGATGACTGTAAAAAGGTTTAGCTTAAAATTTTGGCTGATAATTTTAACTCAACTAAGCCTGACTTCTAAGTTAAACTGAATGTTCTAACAAGTTGTGCTGTATAAAACTAATAACTCACAGCTGAGTGCGTAAACTTTCTGAATCCTGAGTAGTTCCAAGCTGGTTTACCATTTTCTGAACTGAACTGACTGTGGAAATAACAAACATTCAGAGTTATATTATAAATACTCATACAGTAACTTAACCTACTGGAAAATTAAACTGTTGGTACAAATAAGAACAATATAGAATGTTATCAGTAAAAACTTAAATATGTAACTTAACTCTAAAGTTTGATGCACCTGTTGTATAGTTTGTTTTATTGCATTTAAAAAATAACTATCATATTAAATAATTTGAAACTTATAACAAAATCTACATCATGACTCTCTGAAAACTACAGTTTTATTACAAAACTCACACCTCAACAAGCTAAGAACTACAGTTTTATTACAAAACTCCCACCTCAGCAAGCTAAGAACTAGTTTTATTACAAAACTCACACCTCAACAAGCTAAGAACTACAATTTTGTTACAAAACTCCAACCTCAACAAGCATAGAACTACAGTTTTATTCCAAAACTCACATCTCAACAAGCTAAGAACTACAATTTTGTTACAAAACTCCAACCTCAACAAGAACTACAGTTTTATTACAAAACTCCCACCTCAACAAGCTAAGAATTACAGTTTTATTACAAAACTTACACCTCAACAAGCTAAGAACTAGTTTTATTACAAAACTTACACCTCAACAAGCTAAGAACTAGTTTTATTACAAAACTCACACCTCAACAAGCTAAGAACTACAGTTTTATTACAAAACTTACACCTCAACAAGCTAAGAACTAGTTTTATTACAAAACTCACACATCAACAAGCTAAAAACTACAGTTTTATTACAAAACGCCCACCTCAACAAGAGTTTTGTAATAAAACTGTAGTTCTTAGCACACCTCAACAAGCTAAGAACTACAATTTTATTACAAAACTCACAGCCCAATAAACTGAGAAACTACAGTTTTATCATAAAACCCACACTGTAACTAATGGTAAAAAGTAACACTCAGAATATACAATATTTAGTGTTAGGTTTGATAAGTATGAGATTTGAAGGCTTATCTCTTTAAATGGATTTTGCTCATAAAGTGACTGATGTAAAAAAAAATCTGATGAAAAATACATTTAGTACAATTACTGTTAAGTATAACTACATAAAAGATACATACTGATCAGATATTACATAAACTTATATTAATAGTTTAACTGATTTAATAAAATTGACAAATATTTTTCGTCTTTATTTTAATACTTTCTGTAAATATATATGTATCTGTTTAACATAAATAAATCAAACTTAAATATCAATAATGTATTTTCCTTTATTCAAAAACATCAATGGAAAGTTTCCAATTACCTATTCACTGCTAACTTTGTTAGTAATAAAAAAATAAAGCAACTGATACAAATACAGTGGAGCCTCACTGTAATGCAAATTTGTATAGTGCAGGTCTCGGTATAACAAATTTGAAACCAGCAGTGGGTGGCTGATGTGCTTTAAAAGCTGACATGAAAATAACCAAGTGACCAACTAGGGAGAACAGAAGTCTGCTGATGTTGTTACTCCTGAAGCCTACACTCAGGAATTCAAGATTATGGTCGCTTCAAAGAAATGATTTACAACTGTGACGAAACTGCTCCACACAAGACACTTGCAACGGAACAATGGATTGGCTGGTTTTCAAAAATAAAGTCACATTTCACTGTCCTTCTCTGTTGTAACTCTACTGGCTAACATAAACTATTATCGTTGATCATCAAGAAACCGAGATGTTTCCACCACATCAATGTCAATGTTACCGTGCCTCTACACCAACAGACACACTCTGTTGTAAGTCTATTTGGCTAACATAAACTATTATCGTTGATCATCAAGAAACCGAGATGTTTCCACCACATCAATGTCAATATGTTACCGTGCCTCTACACTAACAGACAAACTCTGTTGTAACTCTATTGGCTAACATAACCTATTATCGTTGATCATCAAGAAACCGAGATGTTTCCACCACATCAATGTCAATATGTTACCGTGCCTCTACACCAACAGACACACTCTGTTGTAAGTCTACTGGCTAACATAAACTATTATCGTTGATCATCAAGAAACCGAGATGTTTCCACCACATCAATGTCAATATGTTACCGTGCCTCTACACCAACAGACAAACTCTGTTGTAACTCTACTGGCTGACATAAACTATTATCGTTGATCATCATGAAACCGAGATGTTTCCACCACATAAATGTCAATATGTTACTGTGCCTCTACACCAACAGACAGTGTTTCTTGGAGAATTTGTCCCATTTGTCAGAAGACATTTATGATGTAGTAAGCTTGAAAAGAAAGTCATCCTACAACTAAATAACTGTCCAACCCATGGACCATCTAAGAATCTCATGACCAGAAATGGCAAAATCAAATGTGTATACCTTCCAAACAAAACACCAAAACTTCAACCCCCTAACTAAGGCACAATTGCAACATTTAAACAAAATTACCAATATCATGAATATGTTCGACAGCAACTCGGATGTTGTCACCTGAAGAAAAAAACTCAGTTTCAAAGAAGGCATCCACATCTACGACCGAGCATGAAAGGAGGTTACGAAAAAAATGCATAGGTAACTGCTGGAAACCTCTAATAGGACCCACATTTGAAACACAACATCGAACAACTGTTCAGTGGAGATTTTAAGTATTTATATTTATTTTTGATATCATCAATCCAATTCTTTGATGCTACTCTGAAATACTATCATGTTTGTATCACTTATGATCTGTAATGATACTTGAAAAAAATTCATGTGCATACAAGAATTTTACTTTTATTATTTTGACATTTTTTTAAACACAATTTAATTTGTATTTAAATCTGAATATGCTGTCTTGTGCTCTGCGTCATTTACTCATGGTTTTTGGCAATTTGGGGTTTTAAAGGGATGTGAATGAACGAGTCGTAGACTCACCTTAGGTGGCCGTTTGGAAGGACATCATTACAACATGCCATGATATGGATCCCAACTACTGCATTATTGTTATACTACTCCAATATATAAACATCTCCTAATTCTAACAATTTAATAAAAACAAAGCTATTAAAGATATAACCATCTGCTAAGCCTAACAGTTTAATGAAATCAAAGCTATTAAATATATAATCATCTGCTAAGCCTAACAGTTTAATGAAATCAAAGCTATTAAATATATAAACATCTCCTAATTCTAACAATTTAATAAAAACAAAGCTATTAAAGATATAATCATCTGCTAAGCCTAACAGTTTAATGAAAACAAAGCTATTAAATATATAATCATCTGCTAAGCCTAACAGTTTAATGAAAACAAAGCTATTAAATATATAATCATCTGCTAAGCCTAACAGTTTAATGAAAACAAAGCTATTAAATATATAATCATCTGCTAAGCCTAACAGTTTAATGAAAACAAAGCTCTTAGAACAAATATAATCATATACAAATTCTAACATTTTACTTTAAAACTTTAAAGTGTCTCAGAAAGCTTTAAAACTTTTCAGTTTCTTTTCTTTTTTTTTTTACAATTGTTTAGTTACATCCAGTCAACAGGGAGGGGAAAAAACAGTGAAATATAAGGTCCAACTCTTCTCATATGTTTGATATGAACAAATACAGCACAGAAATATGTAACGTACCATTCTGGGTAATCTTCTGTATGTTTGTGCCGATTACTTGTGAAAGCCTGTTGAATTCATCCTGTCCAGCTGCAAAATAAATAACATATAATTCATATGTTCTTTCACGGCTATCCCTTCTCATCCAGCAGTAAATCCAACCTTAATTTTTTAGGAAATCAAGTTCCCTCTTATCAGATACCAGCGTTTATGCTTTTTAAGCAGCTCTTTCAAATTACAGTTCCAACATCACTTATTAAAATAGTGCTCCTTGTTATCAGTAACTAAACTGTGACATTTGATTTTTCAATTTGAAAACCAACATCTA